GGTGGTTCCCCTGGAGTCCGAGCAGATCTGTTGTGCCATCCTGGAGCTGTAAGACCTAACCCACTCCGCTTGTGCAGTCATCGACCTCCCACAATTAAGTACATTCGTTATAAACCTTTATCTTAAAAATGCATTCATTATAAACCTTTGTCTTAAAAATACCAAAGGGGTGGTGGCTTAGTGGTAACACAAGGGGGTCGGTTCTTTTATGCCCCCGGCCCAAATCCCCTTTTATACGGAGGGTTATTCTTTAAATCGAAATATCCAAATAATACTTCCGGGTACCGAAGAGATTATGAGCCAAAAGCTTGGAATTCCAACGGTTTATACAAAAAAAAACACTTATATTCACTATTCAGTTACACAGTAGAAAATATGAATAATGGTGTAGTTGGTAGAGTTCACGATTGTCATGATTTCACAATTGTATATGACTTAATATACTAGAATCCTTGTGGCTTAAAATCTTTCAAATTATTGTGTTGATGATGACTGATGAGTCCCCACATAAATGAATTGCATTCGATGTGTCCACGAGAATGGACCGAAACCACACAGGTTGGGGGGACTAATTAAGGATTCAGTTCTTATATCTTCTTATTTAAGACAAAACTCACGCTTTAGGTGTATAAGCATACCTTAAAACTCATATATCATGAATGGTATATACCACTTTGTTCACATTTTAAAACTGTAATTAAGCTTTTTGTTTTTTACCATTCACAACATTCATCAAGTTATTATTCCACATTGTTCCACCATCTCTTATATATTAATTGGGAAGTGATTTGTGAAAAGATGTTTATGTGTCATCTCCACATTCACTCTCTCAAATAAAATATGTCATGGCTAGAATCTCTTATATATTAATTGGGAAGTGATTTGTGAAAAGATGCTTATGTGTCATCTCCACTTTCACTCTCCCAAATAAAATATGACATGACTAGAAAGAATTATGACATGGTAAGAGACTAATTATTTCTTACCTTTTAAAATTTTGATTGTCATAAAAAAATATTTGCAAATATTTATTTATAGAATTTTTTTTATAAAAATACGGATCAATTTTAACTTAAACAAATTTAAATAAACATTTGGTCACCAA